CTTGCTGGCCGCACGCACGCGACGCATAATTCATAAAGCGATAAAATTGAAGGACATAAAAACGCCCAAAACGGAAAACTTTCCACAATAAACTGCGGATTTATAGTGAGGGGGGTGGGAATTATATCTGGGAAGATGCCACTCGGATGCGGAATAAGGGGATACCAGGTTTTTGGCCAAAAAATATGAAGCAATCAAACAGACAATAAATGAAGCTAAAGGAGTCTCGCGCACGCCAAGCCAAAGAAATGCAATCAAAGCAAAAAGTAATCTCGGCGATAAGTGCGAAAACGTGTCAAATGCCAGGACGCCAAAAGGGGGCGTGGCTGCAGCTGACAGGGAGCAGCTTGCCCGCATCACGGCAGTCAATAAAGCGTAACAATATTTCCCGTGCTCTGCAAGCTGAAAACAGTTGACAAAATGGCGACGACAGTTGGAGCGGCAATATGAAAATATTGTAAATGCAAAAAGTTGAGGAAACGGATGTAGAAGAAGGGTGAACAGGTGCTTCTTTGGCTGTCCTTGTTTGTTTGTTTGTTTTTGTGTTTGAGTTTGAGGCTGCCTGGGGCACAGTTTTGTTACCAGCTGTCAGCTGAGCTTGAGCTTGGCCAAAAGTTTTTTTTTGGCCAGGCCAACGCACATTTTTTGACGCATTAGCACGCACACGTTGCTCTCAGCTCCGGCAACTGCTCAACTCGTTACAAGCCTCAAAAATGCCATTTCCCTTCCATATATACATACATATATATACACTCTCGAAAATCGACTCGAATTTCCATAATGTGTGCCATGAAAATGCGATCGATTTTCGTGTGAGTGCGGCAAACAACAGAGAGGAAAAAAGACATAATGCTGCGGGCGTGGGCTCTCACTGAGTGGTTTGTGTGTGTGTGAGGAGTTCCTATGAATAACTAACAAAAAAAGATGAAAAAAAAGGAAAAAAAAACATGGCAAAAAAGTCAGGTCATTGGTGGGGTGTGTGAGCGGGCGACTAATGGCCCAAAGTAACCGAAAAAAAAATAAGCTGAACGCGTATCAAAGCCATATATAAATACTTTTTGGGAGTGAGACCGAGGCAGAGGCTGTGAGTTTGCAAATGCGCTTTTAATGGCAGCGAAGGATTCCTCATTCGCCAAAATGCCTGCAATCAAATGAGATCGTAGCCAAGTGTCCTGGGCAGGATGCCTTGACAAAACGCTGGCTGATTGCTTTTCCTCCAAGCCGAACCTCATGCTGATGGAAATTCCAGTCAAGCGAAATGAAGATTGATGGATTTTCAGTATTTGTCAGCAAATCACCAACCCCTTCACCCACTTACCTTTCTCAGCAAACCTAATAAGTCGCAAAAATTTTTGGTAAACGGAACACATTCTAACGTGTTTGCCTCAAAAATTTTTCAACAAATTTACATTTAATATGACAAGTCGGCGTTGACGTGCCTGGAAAACTTTTCTAGCCATATATCAAACCCTTGACAGAATGGGTTCACCTGTTTCCCTAGGATTTCCCTGCTCTGGGAAACTTGGCATAACATTTCAAGCTGCTAAAAGCACTCGACACTTAAGCAAATTAGTGATATCATTCTTGCACGCATTAAATCAGGCTAAAAGGGTAGGGTTTGAGTGAGAGATCGGGATTGGAACCCATTAGCGACGATTGGCCACTGACCAGCGCATCAGCAGCTGCGGCTCATATGACAGAACATATTCAGAGCATACACGCAGTGAGTGTATGAGTTGACTGACATATTGACACACTCTGGCACACAAAGGGCCAAAAGCAAATCCAATTCCAGCACATGACAAGCCAAGCCAAGCCAAGCCAAGTCAAGCAGAGCCGCCCAATACCTCAACTCTCTGTATGTCTGTCTCGCTCCTGTGGCCGCATTGTGGTTGTGGTCTGTGCTGTAAACCATTTTATAGGCAAATCGATTTTTGTCTAAAGTGCCACAAACACGCACAAACAGCGAGGGCAACAACAGAAACAAAACCGGCGGCAGCGACGATAACAATAACGGCCACTGTCGCAACAATATCAACAACAACAGCAGATGAAAGACTCGGAAAAACAGGGAAAATAACAATAAAGCGAATGGACGCTTGTTGCGAGTGTATTAGTTGAAGAACAGACACTCTGATTACACGGTTAAAAAAGGGATTAAATGCACTCATGAGGGCCTTGAACCTCACATGGCTTAGATGAATTTTACTACTATAAAAATTAGCCTTTTAAATGTTTATTTAACCTTCTTAAAAGATATATTTTAAAGTGCCTTTATAAAACATTTCTCTCTCTGCATACTGCCAGACATCCAAACTCTCAGTTAATGTTAAGCCCTGAGCTATCTTGTGGATTCCATCTCTGCTTTAAACTTGAAGTCTCGCCACGTATCCCCTTACCCTTGGCTCACACAACGGCATCTTGTTTAGGCAAATTAATGAGACCCATTTGCAGATTGATGTGCTGCAATTATGCGCCCAGACCAAGTAGCATAAAGCACTTAGCGCTCTGATTCTGATTAAGTGAACGCAAACACGAGAAGTGAGACTATACAAAAGCGGAGCCATCTTTAAGACCACGGCCCTGAATGGGAGGCTTTAAAAGCAATCAGCAATGGGCAGACAAAGGGGTAGAGAGTCCCGACCAACTATCACTCAATGCGGTCAGTTGGATGTCAATCAAGGCAAATGCCATTGCCAATGCCACGGGGAAAGCCACAAGGGAAAAGCCAGAGAAGACAAACCAAAACCCCTTCACGCACGTACATACACCCAACGGTACAGGTTTTCCAGCCTTTTCTGTTCTTTGCGGCCTCGGTATTCTCTTACTTTTGCATACCCATTATTTGTAGTTTTTAAGGGGTTAATTGCAATCGTGAATGAAAAATATATACATATGATATCAGAGAACCAGACACCAGAAAATGGAATGTATACTATTTATGATAACCAGATTACAAATTCAAAGAATTTTACAATCTAACAGCCGGGTATTTTATGGTCGAGACACTATAAGACTTTTTTTGCCCTCTTTAATGAACGCTTTGACAATGCCTTCAAGTGCGAGGACGGCGACAAACGATGTGGCCCATCCGAGGACTATAGACATAAGACTGGGGGGATGTAAGTGGCTGTGGCCCCAGGGCTGAGGCCACGAGATATATATAGATATATAGGACCCAGGACACAAGACAAAGGCCTCGTCTTTGTCTTGGCGCCTCAAGTGCTAGATAATGACTTTGATTCGCTCAGAAGCGAATGCGACTACAACGACGGCTGCCAACTAACTGCAATGCAATTAAAGTCATGTCAATGCCGACCCCATTGGCAGACATTTAAATTAAATGGCCAGTAGTGCACAAAAAGAAATTATTTATAGATTTCGTTAGGGGTTGATTCTCAAAGGAGAAACCTCTCAAATAAACGGCAAACTATTATTAAAACTTTAAGAGTTTGAGATTTAATTATACCCTGTGACTTTGGGTTAAAGTTCCTTGAATTTCTTTGTTTCAATTTAGAAAATTTGCTATCTTAAATTCGAGGGGAACTGTAGTCAATTCCGAAATAATCAAATATTTATAGCTTTTAATATTAAATGACTTTGCTGCTGAGGCTTTAAGGCTTAAGGTTTATTTATATTAATTTAGTTTGAATTATTTGTCTAACAAAATGATATTTCTCTTCTAAAACCAAGCGAAGATTCTCTTAATTTAAATTATTGATTTTCTTAAGTCCACCTGTGACTTCTTTCATTGAAGTTTAAGCTTTTTGACAGTGTGCTGGTGAACGTTGCCATTGTTACCTTTTCGCTCAACGTAGACCTTTCTAATGAGAAAAGTTGGCGGTTGTATTTTCCCTTTTTCTTGCCCGGCCCTAATTAAAGGGTTGTCTGGGGCCCAGAGCTGCCGACACCCGATGCGACTTGCCTTTTGACGGGTCGATTCATTAGCAATCTGTAAACGTGGCCAATACAAATGGCAAGTGACTTGCGGTTAAGCAATCCAAAATCATAAATCACAGCCAATTACGAGGAGTTCAGTCTATGACTCAGGCAGGCAGCGCTCTCACCAGCTCACACAGGACACACCAACACACACGCATGTAGCAATATCAATAACTTAATTAAGATAAATGCGAATTGTATATAGCCTGTAGACACACACTAACACTCCCATAAACAAAGTCGAACGCACGGACGGCGCGTGGACGTTTTGGGGTGTTGATTTCCGCTAACTCTGCACACTGAGAATAAATAATGATCTTAAATGACTTATGACTTATGATTTCTGAAATTTGTATTAATTTTTCATATTCAATTCTTTATGCATGACATAAATATATATGTTTACAATATTTTTCACAAATATTTATATTTTTAAATGTATATTTCAATCAGCTAATTTCGAATTAAACTTTCCTATTCTCCTAGCTTTATGGTAAATATTTTTCTCAGTGCAATATTTTCACTGCACTTGTAGGGCCAGAAAAGGAATCCTGGATTTGGGCCTGGGAAATCCATGTACGCATTAATGCGACGCGTGTTTTGCTTGTTTATGCTCCGCCAACAACAAACAGCCTCAATTAATTTATGTATATCTCACTATGTTTGTGGGTGTGGGCGGGGCCACGCCCATCAACTGTATGTCCGTGTCCGATGTGAAAAATGGATAATTAGTTAATTGCGGTACGTGGCAGACGAACGTTGTTTTGGTCGAGGGGAGGGATTTATGTATTTTAGTTATTAATTAAGTGCGCGCCGCAGTTAATCTGTTTGTGCAGGCCCAGGACCTTGAATTGGATGTGGAATATCCTGGTTATTTCGAGTAATACGATAGCATAGCGTATGTACAGAAAGTCACCGTCTGTGGAAGTGATTGGGTTTCGCATTGAAGTCGACATTGGCCTCCCCCTTTCTTTTTTATTGCTTCCCCTAATGACACTGAGTGTCGTTCGGCTAATGAGTTTGTGCAACTGTTTGCCCAGGACTTGGGCGCTACTTACTTGATCTTCTCCCATATTTCGTCGCCAAAATGCTTGAGCACCAGCAGCTCCAGGGCGTAGTTAACGAAGCCATACTGCGAGCATGAAGAGAAAACAGACCGATTAGTATTTATGTTTATGGCCGCTGTTAAGCAAATATCAATATATCCCCAGCTAGTGTCTATCTGTGCTAGCTCTCATCGTAAAAATCTGAGCTCTTCCGATTTTAATTGCATTCCCAGGCGGGGAGTGAACGCTTTGATTCGAGTCGATAAATTTGAAATATGCGAAATCAATAGCGATTGCGCATTTTCATTTCGTTTTAAATGTATCCGAAAAGCAATCAATTTGATTTGTTGTGCGAAATCAAGCTGCCGTCCCCCTCCGCACTTCAGAAGGGACTGGAGCAGACATACCTATGGTATCCAGATACGCAGCACAATCAATCGCTTCCGCCGGAAGTAATACTAAACAAGCAAAATACTTGAAATATATTTACATACATTACGCATACGTCTAGTTGGCCACACATGAGGCTTCGTGTGTTTGTTTGTGTTTCGCCCGCTGTTTGTGTTTGTGTCTGCCACTGTTTCTCCTGCTGTTGCTTTTACAATTTTCTTTTTTTTTTTACCCTCTTCTTCTTGTCTTCCTTTCCTGATTTTCCCTGCTCTTGGATTTTGTGCTTTTCTGCTCGGTTGTCTGATGAAGATGTATCTAACCGATATTTGATGTTTATTGCCTTTGTTGGGCGCATTGAAATGTTGTAGCAACGGAAAAGAACCAAGAACCGAGTCTCAAATTTAGAAAACTGGGCTGGGAAATGAGGTTGTTGGGAAATGCTGCGAAAATCGCAATCATTAGATCAACATTTCTGTGCGTATGTCAACGTGCAGAGGTTGTTGAGCCAAGCGAATTTTTCTTGCAGGTTGCTAAGATATGATTTAGATGTCTTTGAACTTAAAGGATATAGAAATTTGTTCAAAAAATCTTTTAAAGCTCCTTTTTTATGTACTAAAAATATATAATTAAAGGAGTAAAACAATAACTGTGCTAATTATTAGGAAAATTCTTTCATAAAGAAACTGGCACAGGACTCTTACTTTTCAAGTCATTCAGCATATCTACACATTCAAAAGAATATATTCTAGATAATATTTTCTTACTTATTGCTTTTCCTATAAATTAATTACCATTTTAAGTTTCCCTTTTCACTTACCATTTTTGTTGTGTGATTTTCCTTTTCGGTTTCCGCTTGATTGAAACGCTTTGCCGGCGTATTTAATTCACTTTCACAACGAATGTGTTCAGACGCATATCACAACTGAAATTGGACACCAGAATTCCATATTGATATTGCAATTTATTTCATTTTCATTTCACTATTTGTCCGTCCGTCTGGCGATTTCCACTGCACTGCTACCCTGCGAGTGCCACGACAATGAAAATGTAATAAATTATATTTGTTTGCCCAACCGATATGACGGCTATGATAAGCTCAAAAAAAGAGAAATAAGCGTAATGAAAATTACAAAGTAAACACTGTGGTCTGTAACATTTAAGAGCGGAGAGTGTGGCCAGTGGCTAGCGGGTAATATATAATGCGATCGGTGGTTTTTCTGCCACCGAATCCCTGCTGTAAATATGCATTTTTTACGACCTCCCAAACCGACTTGGCCATATATTTTATTATAAATGTATATATGCCTCTACCCAGGCTGAAATGCGATGGTTCGCATTAAATACCCACACTAATCAAATATTTAAATGAGCGGAAAAAGAAAAGTTTCGGCCCCAAAACCGAGACTCTCGAGCATTTCCCAGACGCGGCAGCAACAATTTCTGGGGCCTTTTACTGGGCCGTTACAACTGCATTTTTGAGTATTACGAGCTCGTAGTATGTATGTGCTTGTTTGTTGCATGCCACATGCAACACGTGCGGAAGCCAAAGGCACAACACACCCAGAGAACACACAGGCATTACAGCCAGCACACCAATACACCAACAACCCACAACACAGCCATCAACTGGGTCACAAAAAGGCAAGGAAAATGAAGGCTTGAATTTCACTAAAGCCGAATATTTGATGTTCTCTACAAATAAGAAATTTAAATAAGAAGGTTACTTGTTTTTTCAGTTATAAGAATTGATCACCTTTAATATATTTTAAATATTTACATTTTAAAATAGTCAACATATTGAACACAATTTTCAAACCATCTCCCTGACTGAAAACCCTTTTAGAGTATCATCTAACAAAAAACAAAAAAGTAAGGGGGACCTACAAAAGCGACAGCTTGGCGTAGAAGCTACAGCAACAAAGGCGGCAAACGGCTGGTTAATTACACACAGGTACACACAGCTAAAAACACACATACCGCACACCTGTTCACCGGCAACTGTGCGAGTGTGAGCGAATCTCGAAATTTATGCGCCACGACGAGTGCAGGGCAATTAAGGCATTGCGAGCATTGAGTTTTCATGGAGTTTGCCATAGGAAAACTCCTTAAGGGCATAGAATTTTGGCGGGGAGGAGAGAGAGAGTGCAGAGCGAGAGCAAAAAGTGGCAAAATGGCAGCCCGGGAAAGTTGCCTTCAATTGAAAAGGGAAACTTGGCCTGCAAAGGCAATGATAAGTTTAAGAGAAAAGCCAACACTAAGCCGCACTTTAAGTCAACTTCAGGTCCGCACTTTAAAAAGGTTGTCAGCGAGAGAGAGTGAAAAATATCGATTTTCGTCCATCTTGGCAGACATTTTTGTGGCCCATTAGAAGCCTCGTTAAGGTGGCTTCGCATAACACGTGTATTAACATATACAATTTCTACAAATATTTCGTGTGTATATTCGTGTTGTTTATATGTCATTGTTTGGCTTTTTCTCCTACTTACATACCTCCCTCCCTCCCCCCGGGTGTGCTGTTTGCTTATTACAAATACCCAAATACGGTGAATTAATCGAGGTAGAAAGTCGTATCAAAAATAAGTATTTACAAATGACCTCGGGGCCGTAACGGAGCCAGGGTCCTGACATCCTTCCGATTGAGCAAGTTTTAATTACGTGCAACATTTGGCATTTTGATAACGGTAGCGGCACACTGTCAACAGAGCTACCAAGGACCTCTCCTTGTGCTATTTTCGTTCGCCGTCGAGAGAGACAAGAGTGTAAATAAGTCTCGATTCGAGGGCTTTGCATTTTGTTTGGCCTGGCTTACTGGAAGAGGTCCTGCTAAAGTTCCTGCCCTTAACTTATTCTGTTCTCCTTCTTTGGCCATTTGTCACTGCTATTTGGCGATGACGAGCACGCCATTTGATAATTGCGACAAAATGGCACGGGGATGCCAAAGTAAAAACAAAACGATATTTACTTGGCCCAGTTGAAAAGTCCCTCGGTTTTTCTCCCTCCCCGGAGGCCCGTCGCTCTGCCTGTCAATTTAGCGCTAAACTGACAATAACTGAGTTAATGATGAGCCTGCCATTAGGCCGGGGCACAAAATGAGGCTCGCAGTGCACACAACATGGCCACAGGACGGCCGCAGGATGTGGATGCCGTGTCCTCAACTTTGTTGTGTTTGGACAGTGCAAAAAATAAACATAAAGTTATTAAAATAAACCTTTATTTTGGGCATTAAAGAAAAGGGTTTATTAATATTTGTATGAAAACTGTAGGAAAGTCTTTGAAGGGCTTCATTAATTAGCATTTGAAGTAGATATAACTATCAATATTTTAGAGTTTATGTTTTAGTAAGTATTAACACTTTTTAATACTCCATAATTTACTCTATTTAGATATATATTTTATAAGATTTTTGTATCGGTAAGATTTAATCAAGAAATATTATTCCGTGAACATTTTTAGAGATTTATTACCATTTAAATTTAAGTACATTTCATAGACAAATTTATTAAAGTAATTTTACTACATTTTTCAATTGATACTTTGATTAAAAATCAGGTTTAACTGTTTCATTTTTTCCATTCATCATAAAATCTACAGAGTATACTTCATTTTTACGGCATTTTTTTAAGTCTTAAGGTTACAGAAAACGGACTTCCTTGTAATATCTAGTGTTTTTCAAAAGTGTCTCTTTCTTGCAGTGTATCTTTTTTGGACCAAAAAAGGGAAAATGAGCGGAAAGTGTGCGGCAGAGCAATTGTACATTCAACTCTGTGTCCGCCCGGGCATTTATCAAATATAATGGACATTCACTATCGTCCGACCAACTAAAACAACTGTCAGCAAATTGCCGTGGGCACGCAAAGCTAAATGTCTAATAAACTTTGACATATTGAGGCCAATATTTCTATTTGGCAACTTTTCGTTCGGGGAAGCCCACACAAATTATGGACCACGACGGGGACAATGATGGCGTGAAATACTCGGTGTCTCTCTGTCCGGGTGCCGAAAATAAAATGAAATAGAGCGAAATAAATTAGAGCGCACAAAGTATATGCTTTAATATCCAGGGCCAAGTGGAATGCCATTGTTCGCACACGAAAAAAAAAAACAAAAGCAAAATGAAACCAAAAGAAAGCATGTGTGTGTGGGCGAGTGTAATTTACATTTGTTTGAGGCGCGGGATTCTTCTCTTTTTATTCTTATTTTGATTTGTATTCTTATTTTGTTTTATTTCAGCGATTCCCTTGGCTTTTGTTTATTCGCAACTTGTGATTTATTTCGCTGTTTTTGTTATACTTTCTCTCCTGTCTGAGTTTCGTTTTCGTTTTCGGTTTCGGTTTCACTCTCGCGATAACCTTTCTCCACTTTCACTGACTCTGCCGCCTGATAAGAAGCGCGCGAGGACTCGGACTCGGATGCGGATGCGGATTCGGAGGAGCGATTCCCACTCCGCTTGATGATACTGTCCGCCGTGCACTGTCCGTCGGAGTGAACGATTCGCGTGGAACAGCCGTCGACGACTGAGCGCTGGCTGCCTCGTCCTGCCGATTTAAAGGCGGCTTTCGAGCCAGCAGCAGCAGCAGCAGCAGGACCAGGACACTTGTCCGCTTCTCCTTGCCTTTGTTGCCGCTGCCTTTGCCTGTGCCAATTGCCTGGCCCACTCAGCTGTTTGTTGTTGCTGGTCGTCGGGGGAAAACCCGAGCGGAAAAGCTCTTATGTGCTGCGGGAAAGCTCGCTCTTTCGCTCCGTCTCGCTCTGATGGCGTTCAGCTACCAGCCAACAGATGGCGACCGCTTTATTTTAAAAATGATGGTATAAACTAAAATTTTTTATTTTATTTTTTATATTTATTTAATTAAAGGCAGAAAGGAGTGAAAGAGTGCTGAATCCTTTAGAAAACTTTTAAGATCGATTTTTAGTCATAGAAAGATGTTCAAAAAATGTACATAGCACCATTTTATAATTGAGTTCAACAAGGTCTACAAAATTCTTCGAAAATATTTCCCTTCACCTCAGGTGACATTGGACCCTTGTAGCTCTGACTTGTTAGATGCGACGTAAATCAGTCGCTCGATTTTCTTCTGCAATTGTTTGCTTTGCATTCACCTTCTTATTGCCACCCGGCCCACTTCCGTTTCCGGCGTTATTTATTGCCGGCTTTATTTACTTTTCTACTGCCGCTGTCGTTGCTGCTGCTGCTGCTGATTTTTGTCAACTGGCAACGCTCAACGGCTGGATTCCGGACTCAGTCAATGGCTCACGCATAATTTACCTACGACAATAGATTTTCGGGCAGCTCTAGTCGAGCAGATGAACATTTCTGCGCCAAATAAATTAGAGCCACTTGCATTGCAAACGGCAAACAGAGTCCTCGTTGTACAGTAATTGAAATTGAATGGGTGGGCGGGTGTTAGGGGAGGTTGGGGTGGCCAAAGGGAGGAGGTTTTGGGGGGGAATTTAGAGGAACCCCAAGCCAATGGGGCGTACTGGGGCGTGGCTAAACCAGCACCTGTTAGCCACATTCTCTGCACTTTGTCATGGCGAAAAGTGCATCAACTGAACGCGCATAAATGAATTACTTTCCTCAAACATAATTAATCACATTGTCCAACTTTTAATTGTACTGGCCACTACGCACAAAGGGTCGAAAGAGCATCGCGTAACAAAAACAGACACCTTTGCCGAGTTGTTGACGTGCCAGGGCTGCCGGTGACACTGACGAAGGAGTCACTGGCAGATGGAGGCACTAACCCAGTAACCAGGTCCCCGGTTAACCGGCCAGCCTGCTGACTGTCAAAGTCATTTTCAGAATGCCGAAGGCTATGGCTTTACACAAAGTCGAGGAGGAGCAGCTTTTGGATATATTTTCGTAGCTTTTCAACTATAAAAGAAAAAAAAACCAATTATTAAACATCCTTGGAGTAGGATTCTTAAATAAGTTTATTAAATATTAGTAATGTATTGTGTCTTGTGTATTCAAATATTTTAAAAAAATTTCTTTCCTTCCTTAGCGAAAGAGCATAGCCAGTTCTAGCAACCTAAAGGATTGACGGCGATTGTTCTGGACACTCCAAGTCGTTACAAGGCGGATTCTTGATCTAGTTTCAGTTTCGGTGGGAGGAAGGAAGATGCGGAAATGCGGATAACCGCGGAATAAAAGAAGCCAACTCATCGGGAGGACTTGGCACATTGTGCCCGGGAAATGGAGCGTGTTTGCTGCAGAAGAAGAGTGGTCGTCCTGCCGCCGGACACCAATCAAGTTCGCTGCCAGAAGATGACTATCTGGCTGGCATTTAATTAAGAGAGCCCGGCCGAAGGGGTTAACAAAGTAAGTTTTCGGGGCATCGACTTTCACATCACCGGCATCCCAATTGCTGCACATACTAGGTACAAGGGAGAGGCAAGTCTCTTAACTCACAAAAATTCGAGATTCCATTCTGTTTGTGAGTTTTATGGGCGGCAGTGGTGCCCAGCGGGCGTAACTAGCGCATTGAGACAAAGGACAAGTGCATCAGGATAATCGCATCACACTTGAGTAAATAAATTTCTGAAGTGGAACAGACTCTGCTGAAACATGTTTTGCCGGGACGAGACCATCTTCCATGACAATGGAAAAGAAGGCAGCAGGCAGAAGGACCCTCGGCTCCTGCGTCTTTTTGTGGCATTTACGTGCTTCAAGCCCAAAAACACTCATACTCGAAAATTTCACAAAGAAATGGGTGGAAGAAAAATGTTGCCATAGAACTGAATGTTTGAATGTGAGACGAGATGTCCAAAAGTTTTAAATAACAAATTGATAAGTGAGTTCCGGTCTGTCCATTTTTTATGTTATTTTATGAAATTATTATTATCTGTAAATATATAAGGGAAACAAGACAAAAGTAAAACAAAAACACTTTTAAATGATAACTTATTCGTTATATTTTAACACTCTGAATTCTTGAAAAATACCATTCACTTTTGACTCTTTGGTAGACTGATTATAACTCGTTTATCGTAAAATTTATTTATATTTTGTTGAACTTGTTAAATATAGTTTCATTCATTATCATTTTGCTAAAAAACTCTCTTATGTTGCATCATCAACATCCTACTAAACCTTAAGTAATTACTTATCTCGAAGCTTGGAGCCACACTTATTTCGAAATCACTCCGAGTAGCCCGAATGTGATCTCCTATTTAATTACAACGCCCCAGGCCCAGCAGCAATAATCCCAATATCCAAGTGGAGGTAAATAACATCCCTGCATGTCATGGCATCTCTCAATTATTGCACCATTGATTTGCAGCAATAATAATTGAAAATAAATACGACAATTTGGCCAGGGAGATGTTTATTAATTTCCAGGAATTGTATTTCAAAGGCCAGAGGGCATAGTTCAAAAACAACAAGCTGCTTCTTGAACTACAGTTCATGTGCGTAATATAAGCAGACTATTTAAAGGGGAGTAACACATAAATAAGTTATTTAGCCATTCATGGGTAACATTGAATTATATTTATAACCAGACCACTCTGTATACGTAGAAACAGTTGTAATTATAGCAATTAATCAGCAATAAAGCTGTGATTCTTCACAGAATCGGGAAATAGTCAGACTCGTATCTAGAGGCGCGCGCGAGTTCTTCAAATTCGAGTGGCAATTCAGAGAGGGGGAAAAAAACTCAAGTGATCGGCGGCGATGTTGGTGGCAGCCGTTCGAGTGGCATCTAATTATTCACGCGGTTAATTCTATGGCCACCTATCGACAGATTTGATCTTATAAGCTGCGGATTTATATTTATGAGTGGAGACACTGGAAGAAACTACATTTTTACAATTATTATTTCAGTTATTTTAGTTTTAATTTCTTACTTATGAGAAAACTCTTTTAACTTGAGGTATATTTTTGCATAGCTCAAAGATATTGTTTTTTATCTCATTTGACCTGATGTTATCTTATCTGTAATAAGTCATAAAGTACTTATCCCATATCTTTGGCAAACAAAGTCAACTCTTTCTCAGAATCAGAAGACTCTGCAGAAGGGAGATTAAATATTATAACTTACTAAACTTAAGTAACTCAACAGCTTAACACTTTTGAGAATGTGATTTCTAACAAGAATTACAAAAATGTACATATTTAATATATTTAACTTATTTACTCACGGAGATTTCTGATCATTTTAAATGAATCTCTTAAGGAAGTATATTAGTTTGTAAGAAGTCCGAATGTAGTTCTTACATTTTTACTCTGACTACACTTTCTTCTGGTACATTTGCATTAATTTAAATATATTTGCTTTGTCTGCTAGACAGCTACAATATTTTTTTATAATTAAAACAAAAATGTAACAAGATGAACGTCATTGTTTTTTGTGCTAGTGCAAATATTTGAATGTACTTACATTTTCCAGTGTGTGGTGGCGATGAAGTATCTAAAGGTTTTCTGGTTATCAAAACAGCTACCGATCAGTGCATGAATACATTTGCGGGCTCTCATTTTTTTTATCAGAGAGAACCCTATGGAAATTTGAAAGTCGTACTACAGAATACCCTAAGAAATAATTAGTATTATATTTACACACAATTTAGACATAATTTTATAAATATACAAATTATAAAGCATTCGAATAGAAGGTATTTTATTTTATTTAAAATATTTTATTTCTTAAATTCTATCTTCAAGCCACCACGCGAACGTAAAGTTAGCTACAAGAAGTGAAATAAGTTCATACGTTCGACCTTTGAAGATGCTGCCATCCTGACCACTAACTGGACCACTAACCAGTCGGCCTTCAGCTCAAACCGAACTAGATGTCACTCTCAATTGCTCAGCCAAGAGACTGGGAAAAGCAGCGATTCTGGCAGGCCCTATTCCAGGGTACTGTTTTACGGAAACAAGTTTTATCGTCGTACGCGATGTTCTTCGTCAGTCGATCGCGGAGCTCGGGAGTGCGACAAGCAGCCTGCTCTTGAATATAATTATAATTAAAAAGTACAATAGCAATAAAAAACCAACAGGGAATCTTCGCTAAGAAGATGCCAAGTCTGGTGTTCTTGTGTTTAATTGCTGGCAATATAGCACTTGCACTTGCATACGCTTCGAAAGACAGCTCGGAGGAGACCCAGCACCTGAATCCGACGGACTTTAGCAAGTGTCTTGATTATTGCCACCTGAAAAACGTACGCTTTCTCCTCTGCATCGGTGAAGATGGCAAGCTGGAGAAGAGTCCTTTGAAGACCTGCACTGAAGGAGACTGCAAGGCCGAGGATTTTCAAATCAAGTATGAAACCAAAAACGGCTACGAATTCCGGGAAAATCGCGTGGAGGCCACCAAAGTGGGAAAACGCGCTCATCTGCGGGATCTCTGCCTGGATGAAAGAAATGTCCCGCTGAGACGAAGGTGTCATATCCGGAACGGCACAAAGACCTGGCAGAGTTTCGAAAATGTAACCTGTAGAATGGCTCCAGAGCTTAGCACGAATCTGGATACTCTGGCTGTAAATAATTCCTCGGATTTGAGTCAACTGAGCGACTTGGTTACTCACTCGAAAGAGCCGCTCAACGCAGCCGATATCGTCAGTATTTCTGAGATTTTCAGTTCTCAAGTAAAGAAATCCGTACAGAAAGTGGATGACATCGAAGATTTGATGAACATTTGCCAGCAAGTGATGTCCACCGATAAAGAAACTCTGCGCCTAGCAGCAGAACAAAACGCCACCAACTCCTTGCTGAGCAATTTCGAGGATTATCTGGACGCTCTGGCCCCGCAACTTTTACCTGGAGATGGGACTACCAGCTTACAGATTCCCAATGATAATAGTCAAGTCGAAACACAACGTATTCTCGACAAGGGAGTGGTGCTTTTGAGGACCAAGGAGTTGAGCGTATTCTTTGTGGATCCCGGCGTAGCAAATGTGACGGGAATAGCGATCTTCCTCGAGGGAGTGACATCACAGTTTAAAATTCTTCAATCATCCGAGAATCTGGAAAGTATTCGGGCAATCGAAAATTTGGAGAGTGCGGCAATTCTACCCGACAAACTCTGGCGAGATGTGAAGGAAAGAGGAGCCCGCTACCTTATCTTCAAAGTCTACGCTCGCGATGCCCTCTTTGTGGAGACGGCGGAGGAACTGAAACGAAGGCCAACCAGCAATGTTATCTCAATAACGATACCGGGACTAGACGGTGAGAAAATTAGTTATCTTCATCTTGTGCAGTAAAATAAAAGTAGAACAACTGCAGCGGAAAGTAATAAAGCGCATTAGGAGTTGGCCATAAAATTGCAAAAATTAAGCAGGAAATTATGATTTAAAGAAGCTGTTTCTTATTATATTTACTATTTAAAAATATTAGTCAGCTTACGTTGTGTTTTTCTTTATTTATTCCTTCTAAATTCAAATTAAGTTTAAGCTAAATAATAATTTATTTTTTAGATCACAACCTGCCCGGAAAATTGCCCTTTTTCCTGCGTAATGGCGACACAAATAAATCCCAAGCCCAAGGCGGCTGCGGCTACTGGAACTACGAGACCTGGCTTAGCGATGGAATCTCCACCTGTGGCAGTGGCAGTGGCAGTGAAGTCCCACTAGATAACTCATCGCATCCCGTGATCCTCTGCCATGCGGATCACCTCACCCAGTTTACGTTCCTGCTGGGAATCAGAAAGCCACCAGAAGTGATATCAGCCACCGGCGAAAAGGAGTTGCCTTTGGATATTATAACAAATGTGGGATTGTCGCTATCGCTAATGGGACTCTTGGGCATTTTTGTGACTGCGGCACTGTTCAAGCGCTTCCGGAACACACCCTCTACGAAGATCCTACTGAATCTGTGCGTGGCTCTGGGACTCCAGCTTTCGCTGTTCCTGGTGCTAAGCGAAGGAGACTTGCTGAAACAGTTGGATAGTACTGACTTCGATCGTTGCCTGGTGACGGGAGCCCTGATGCAGTACCTGCTCCTGGTGGTCTTCAGTTGGATGTTCATCATTGGCTTGCTGCAGTACAAGCGATATGTGAAGGTGATTGGGGTGAAGCATCCCAAGCACTATATACTGATGTCTGCTCTGGTGGCCTGGACCCTGCCCCTGATACCCACGCTGCTGGTGGTTTTCCTGGACTCGGCCTCCTACAGACCCAGCGGTAATACCACCACTGAGGATATACCGATCCTGTGCTATCCCTCGGGATATGGTCTGGGACTGGGTGTGATCTTGCCCATTGGTCTCATCACCCTGTGCAATATCTTGATGCTGGGTTACATCAACTGGAGTGTTCACAGAGCACTCTTCACTGAGAATCTCATCTTGAAGCAACTGCATCTATCCGTGCTGCTGTTCTTTCTCCTGGGAGTCACCTGGATTTTCGGACTGTGCGCCTTTTTCAATTTCGGGACAATATTCTCGTATCTCTTTTGCATCACGGCCACAATGCAGGGATTCGTTCTATTTCTTTACTTTGTGGTATTCAACAAGGATAATCGCCGATCCTGGCTGGGACTGTGCCGTCTCCGGCGCTCGAAACGTGTTGGGGAAGTCATAGAACTGGCCACCGAATCGAATTTTAAGAACTCATTGAAAACTCAAAGTACAAGTAACTAAGTGTGCGCAGTTTAGAGATTATAAATATATTCGAATAAGGTAAATTATTCTGTTTGCTATATAAGATACAATATTTTAAAATGTATATAGTCTAATAATATATTTATATTGGAAACATGAACTAAAAAACCTTAAATATAAATATTTTACAGTGTACTTTCCTAAATACAAAAGATAAGAGTTGCAGAACACACAGATACCCAAAAGATACTTTGATAAAAAGTGACATTGCCCATGAATCTCGTTAAGATAACAAATTTATCCCACAGAAACAACTTAGATTTCTAAATTTCTCGTAAAACTAGGAATTTTGTTATAAACAATATTTTAACATTAGATTTTCCACAGAAGAAGAGCAATGTTGTGTGATAATTGTTATTTGCTGTGCCTGGAGGGGGTTAATTATACAATTTACAATCAGTAATCTGTGTGAAAACCGGTTATCATAGAAATTCGCATGGAAAATATACACTGCACTGGGGTCGGTCAACAAGGCAGTGATTCAGCAAGCAAGCATAATAAAATAAAAATAATTAAATATTACATTTAAAAATACTTTATTATTATTTATTTACATTAAGCTTTTGAGTATTTTTATAGAAATTTATATGATTTAAAGCTCTGATCTGATATCATAATAAAACATAAAGTTTCAAGCTTTTAACTATAGAAATATAAAGTTAAGGTTTACAACCCGAATGGGTCAAGAAAGCTGTTAAGCTTTTGTTAACTTTTGCAGGCAGCTTTTACCCGTTTGGTAGCTTTCAACCGTTGACGCTCAAGTATTTCCCCGCTCACTTCAAATTTATGACTTCTAATTTATGTAAATGAGATGACAAGTTCGCTTTTGGTGAATGTATTTCATAGATTACGACGGCACACGGCGCACGGCTTGGCTTAACTTCGGTTTTATTGAATGCGATAAGGTCGTAAGTCTTAGTCATGGATCGGATGAAGTGTTGTTGGTGTCTTAATTTAGATTAAACATTATACACAACTAAAGTATCGTTAAATTAGTGCTAGGAACCAGTAAGCTTAAGGCAAATTAGCCAAGCACTCGGCTGGTTGTCTACTCATCGGCGGCGGTGGAGGCATTCCACAGCCAGAAGCCGAACTCGTTTCGTGACAACAAACGCTGCCGCCTCCGAAAAAAGATGGCTACATAGAGCAGCTTCGATTTCAGCGCTTTATCACCAGCAACCGCAGCGGAATGTAAGAGCTTCCGGGTACCACATCCTTGCCCTCGGGCAGGAAGTTCTGTGCGTAGTTCTTTGGCGTCGGCGAATTGGGTGGCACTGCATACCCCAGAATGTTGTCCGAGGCGGCACCGGAAACCACATACACTTGCATTACAGCCTGCGGCTTTTGCCACTTCTCCGGCGACACTTCCGCCTTCGTCTGTTGGGCGAGTGCCCGTCGGGAGAACTGGGTCTGCTGTTGCGCCTGCTGGTTTTGATCCGCCTGCTGGAAGCGCTCCAGGTGTCCCTGGATGATCCTACGCAGGGCAGCCATTGTGCTGGGCGACGGCGGGGAGTACACATAAGCCCTTGCCGGTGGGCGTGGCAGGTAATCCCGGCCACGAGTGGCAGCACTGCCCATGGCCACCAAAGTCAGCAGCTGAAAGATAAATAAAAATCAATTAATCAATACCAAATATGTAAATGAAATAAATGAAAGCTAATAAAATATTAAGTTATAATGATGAATTTATTAATTATATTCCTAAAATATTGACAATTAAGTTTTTTCCTTTTAAAAATAGATAAAAAATTAATTTAATTAAAAGAGCTTTTAAAATTTAGCAATTATAAATGGAAAGAAGCCATATATCTTTACCCAAAATAGGCTTTCACTTTCGAATTTTGCTTAAATAATTGCCTGGCTATATTTTAAAACGTTACAGATAGTGAAAATATTTATTAAGTAACAATATTATAGTAGGTGCCATTATATACATTATATAAATATAATAATTTATATTATAAATGTATAAAAAGTTCCGGTTGCCAAGCCAAAACTATAATAAATTACTTTCTTTAATTAAAGCAAAATAGATGTGACTTCCAAACAGTAACCAGGCTTTTGTCTGCATAAAAATGAAACTCGTTTTAACATCTGATTTCCATTTTCTTAAAAATAAACGTCAGCCATAATTATATTCGTCAAATTGAAATCAAAATATCTAGTTTTCAAGAATTGTTTTTAAAAGTTAAAGGGGAATTTCCATAAAGGTTAAAACAATTATTAACAAATTCTTAATGTTTAATAATATTTTAAAATGACATAATGATTTCTAAGTCTCAATGGAACAAGTAATTTTTTTTATTTATAAAACACTCTTTTACTATCACTTTCTGAATTAAAAATCAATTTTAAATCACAGAATATTTATGCAATAACAAAACACTTTTTACCTCATCCTAACTTACCAACAAACACTTCCTGTACATCCTTGAGTCGCTTTTCAAGCTCTATCTCCTCGGGTCAGTTCCCAGCTAAAATTTCCGACCGATCACCGGTTAACTCAATGGCAGACTGAAGCGATCGTAGCTTCTGCTCCGCCGACTCGTTTCAAGTTCAGGGTCTCGGCGTGTGCATTTACATAAATTTCTACCAAACAGCCACTCCACTCCATTCCAATCTCCATTCTCCAGTCTCCGGTCTGCGTAGTCCGTTCTCCGTTCTGCGTCTGTGAGTTGTTTGTGAGAAGTCCAATTCAGCTGGCACGTGATTTATGCATATAGTTTTTTGCAAGCCTTCGTCGCTAGGTCCCCAGTCCCCGATCTCGTTGTGAATGCGGCAATCCAGTTGGATCGATCACGAGGTGCCACCAAAATTTAAATCTAGCCAGACGAGAGCCCAACCCCACGGAGATACTATCTCTCAACCATTGCCATTTTGTCTTTGGAGCAGCGTGCGAAGATCTGAAGATTCCCACACAGAAAGAAATATATTTTATAATTTGTTTAATATATTTTTTACAACAATATTTATAATATTTAAATTATTTATGAACAATATTAGTCTATCTTTCACTTTTAGAACACTAAACAGAATTTTATTTGAATTTCATTTTTAAATTTATAAAATTTATCTATTAATTTTATAATTTGAACTGTAGTCTCGCCTCTGCTCTCATGTTATTTCAACCACTTTATTTGGAACTCAATCGTTTTATATTCCTTTCTGTGCAGCCATAGATTAGGGGTCGAGTTTTTGGCTCAGACTGTGGGGCGACTCTTCGACTCTTCGGCTGTTCACGCCATTATAATTATGCAAATTAACAGTGATTCGTGAATAAATCATCTTTATGAGTGGTCAGCTTACATAGGATGGGGGGTCTTTACCCGGTCTATTTGCATAATGGTTTCTATATAGAGTTATAAGTGTGTCCAGCTCAGGTTGAGCTGCCATTGTAGTGCGATCACAATACCCATTGGTATATTTATATTGATTTTTAATCGTCGCCTCTTTATGCCTGACAATGCGCATTAAAAGCGGATCGCCTCAGTCGTCGGTCGTTTGTCTTGTCATTCGATATGCCACAAGATGTCTTTTTCTCAGTATGGCTTTGATCCGAAGATGGACAGTCAACAACAAAGGCGAACATAATGCGATTCATATGCTAAGTCATTAAAAGGTGTTTGTGCAATAGTCGCTCGACCTGAAGCTGATCGATTGAGATGTTGAAATGGCCGATCATCAATCGCTTTGCTGAGATTAACATTTATATACCAGCTCAATTGGTAAATGATCTTTGAACATTTTTATGACTACTCGATTGATTGTAAAATGCTAATCAACCGAGTAGAATCGGAGCATTTGATTTATTTTCAAGATAATTAATTATGGGAATCGAACAGTTTAAAAGGCAATCATTAATATTTGTATAAAATCAGTTTCTAAGGCAGTAGTAAAGCTTTAAGTGTTGCTAATATAATTTAAAATGGAATCATTAATTAGTGTAGTAATCTTGCTTAGAACTGACTTAGTAATAATATTTTTTTAAGTTCTATTGATTTGCTAATTGCTTATAATTTGATTGGAACTCCAGCGATTGGAAAGCTTTAAACTGTGCTGTAGAAATTAAATAAAAAAGGCTGAGAATCTGGATTGATAATCTATAAAATTTATAAATACAATTTTAAGTTAATTTATGAGAACAATCACTTCTGTCACCTTATAACCATCGAATCAGTCTCTAAGCCAATAAAGACAATCGAATAAAAATCTCCATCCGAGGTTTTTTCTCTTCTGTCCTTTCTCCTGACCTTTCCCCCATCACATTTCACCTTCGATATGCCCCCATTTCCTTGCTTTTTTATTGAAGGCAAAGGTAAAAGGAAAATTCGTGCACCTGCTGCCAAAGAGTTTGGGGTTTAAGATTCCGATGAGTCAGCGAAACGGAAAAGGAAACGCAATTAAAGCTCATCGGCTTGCGGCATTACGTAATTACAAATTTGCTGGATTACGTCAAATGCAAATATCAAGTCGATTGCATTAGCATTTTGATTTATATGCAAACTAACGAGTTGCGGAACTGGCTGCATCCTTTCTAGGCGGAGTCCATATAATTACTATGTAAATTATTTATGCAATTAATTTAACAAACTCAAGTCTCTAGCTCAAGCAGCGAACGTGCCCCACATGTCCATCATATATCCATATTGATGAGGGTCCTTTTCCGGCTCACTCGTCCATATTTCATATATGCCCCGCACATACGTTACATATACGTTATATGCGGTATATGTTATACAAGGGGGCGCATCATAATCAGGCGCCATCCACCCGAACTGCCGCCGTTTCTGCTGATTTGAGTCCAGCTGGCGTTGAGTGCTAAATCCTCTGTCACATACGCTCCACGTCGGGGATTCGTCTGTCAAAATAAACAAAGAAAACGGCACAAAAAACGAAAAAGAAGGCCTGTTTTGGGGGGTAGGGAAATGTGGAATACCCTGACATGTAAAAATATATATATCAAATTCTTTAAAAAGTAACTAAGAGAAACTCTTTAAAAGTTACTACACAATTCTTAAGAGAATTTTTGATCTATCTGAAACCTCTTAAATTCATAAAAATATTATTAAAATAAGCAGAATAAATATTTTATCACACCAATTTATTCACTTATTCTTTAAAAATCCTTCTAAAACCGTAAGAGCTGTATTAACAAACACAATCTATAATTTTTGGGGAATTTATTTACCCATAAATAAAAGAAGGTCAGAACAATTGCAATACCCCATCGTCAAGGGCATCATGAATCCTGTTCCGATAACGTAACAAAAGTTGCCCCAAATGGTCAGACTGAATGCTACGTAATGAGTTTGATGGGCTTTTGAACTAAACCAAATTGCAGACAGGCATTTTTATTTTTATTCCGATACCAATACCGATTTCGATTTGATGATGATGCCAAATGGGCGCCGCATACCAGCAGTATAGCAGTTATATGTCGGAAAATTGGAGATGGCAGCGAGAGGATGCACGGCAGCAAATTGAGTTATGGCCCCTGGATGCCGCCTCATATTTTATGCATGGCAAGGGCAAGCGAATTGCTTTCCAATCGACTTGGCGCACTCCACTTGGGGTCGTCCCAACCAAGGAGTGGCCCCAATCCTTTGGACTGGGTGCGACCCGGGTCAGACGGAGACCCATTACCATTAGGTAATCACCTGCCGGGAATTCGGGATCGTCAATGGATCATCGATTTTATACTGCAGTGCAGCACGACATTCCCCGATGAGGATTCGCTCTGTTTGTATTCGGGTTAAGGTAATCAAAGGTTGAATAAACTTTTCGGCTAAAAGGCAAGCTAATTAAGATAGTTTGCCAGCTGCACTCGGCTGGAAAACGAGGGCTTGAGTCAGACGTTAATGAAGACGCCACATGCCCCTTGGGTGCAGAGCCCTTCCTTCCCTCCCTCCCCTGGCAAATGGTTTACCTTTGACCTCTGGCACAGTACATAATTTATGCCTCCCGGCTCGCTCGACAACTCCCCGCTGGCAAATCATTTATCATAATACAGCCAGAGCCTCGAATTTGCGACTGACAGCCCCATCTCCCCCTCCAGCCGCTTACCGCAGGAAAAATGAAAGATTTTGCATATTTAATAAGTTTATGCGCTTTGTGCAATAATCCCCCAATGCCACATACACTTTTCACTGCGGCAAATTTGAATGAATGAATGCTGGTTAAAGGGAATGAAAAAGTAAGTTTTTTATTCCTCTCTTTTTACAAAGACAAAAAACTGCATTTATTTTTGTCGCACAATAAGAGTGGTTAAGTATAGCGGAGCTTTCTTTTTTATTTCCCCTAGTTTATGCCCCGAATTATTTATAACTTTGAGTTGTTTTATGTACGAAATAAACATATTTTTCGGCTTACATTTTATATTTTTTTTTCGGTGTGCGGATAAGCCAAAACAAACCCGATATATATATACGTCGGAAAATGCGGCTGTACACATTCTCATTTTGACGCAATTCCCCGGGGCCATTTTGATGCGGTGTGGCTTTTAGCGGCTCCACGGTTTATTTATATATATATATATATATCTGCAGACTCGTGAAATATGTAAATCATAGGCAGCCGAAACTGAATCAAAGGCGAGCGGCTGTCGGGGTTATCATTCGCATTTGGGGATAGTTGTAACTCTGGTATTGTAAATGCTATCCTTGGACCTTTATAGTTTTAGTTTGCTGAAAACTTTTGTGTGCCGGAAAAGTTGTGCGCTCATGTGCAATAAACTGTGCATACACAGAAAATAATTTGGAATGTGTTCTTTATTTTCTTTATTTTTATGTTAATAAGTAAGTTAAGCTGTTAGTTTTAAATATTTTTCCTTTAAATCTTAAGGTATAAGAATTTTTTTATATTATTACGAAAGGCGAAAGGATATATATATATTGTAGTAATTTTTCAGCCAAGACACAGCTTTTTACACCTGTGATCCATTACCATTTCTCCTTCGCCTGTTTCTTTTCTTTGTGATTAAAATTTCTATAATAAAAACCAATGTAGCCATAACATAGCCCAAAACCAGTAAATGCCAAAGCCAATTCAGATTCTGCAAACGTATGGGAGTTGCTTCTGTTTTAGCCTGCGGTAATTTTACCTTAAAAGCCTTGACCAAACGCTTGATAATGGACTTCATCCAATGTGTGGATATACCGCTCTCGTGGACACTTATCAGGAACCTGGATAGTGGCCAATTATAGACTGAGTTATTTGGCATTACATAAACCCAGGGTAAATTCTCAGTAATAATCAAGTCCTGTGACTTGCAATAAAACTTATGGCCCACAACTCGCTGAAACTGATCATAATATTGCCAGTTTGTTGATAACAATATAAAGCTGTAACTTTTGTTAAGCGAGGAAAATAATTTCACACGTTCCAAGTGCCCAATGGCTATAAATTTTGGAATAACCCTGCGGAAGAATTCCGGATCGATTTCATTTTCTATATAGGAGCGAACGTAGTCATTCGTGACTGTAATAATTCCGCTGTCCCGCAACTCCTCAAAGTTCTGCACCTGAGCTCGTTTGATGGGACTGGTGAGCAAGGCACTTAACTTGCAGCTAAAAAAGTTGCTGAATATGAATCCAAAGAGGGTGATGGCCAGGAAAAGCTGTCGAAGTGAGAGACTCGCTCGACGCAACTCCGGAAAAGGAAGTCCCAGAATGGCTCGAAAGGCTCGCAGATTCATCAGGGGATTCCATAGGGTAAGAGGCCGCGATTCTCCAGTTAGACGATGAGTTACCACAAGAATCAAGGTCTCCACGCAGACAAAGGAGCCATAGACGCATAGCAGGTACCACATCCAAGTCAATACTTCCAGTCTCCTCAAGACATCCTCGAGGCTCAGCTCGCTGCTGCAGGGCACAATGACCAATAAAGATGCTGCAGCAAGGGGATTCACAAAGTCCATCTGTGTGGATACATTTCCCAAGGTTATAATCTGAGGGCTAAATTGAATATCGCAGGCTTCATCATTGCTATTGCTTCCATCCAGCACTTTCAAACTACCATTGTACTTTTGGGCAAACTCTATGACCTCCATGTCCTCCAATCGGGTTATGGGATAAAGGCTAGTTGCCACATTACCTTCCTCATCTGTGCTTGGCTTCACAAAGATTGTCTTTCCCTGAAAATTGTATTTTCGATTGTAGAACTTGATCTTCTCGAACCTTGAGATGTTTTTGATTCGTGTAAAATGAGGCGTGGGAAAGGCCTCTAGGCGATATGAAGGGACTATGCTGGGCAGATCACCTATTTCCAGAACCAGCATCCTTATAAACTTATGCTTTTCAGCTTGAATGGATATCCATTTAATATACTTTTTAGATAGCTTATTTTGGGTCCAGAGTAAGATCCTCTCCTGGCGCATGGTTTCAAAAGCTCCTGCCACAACTTCCAGGAGCTGAGCATCATAATAGGAGTTTCCTGTGAGGCAGACAATCGCTACAGCCCGTTTATTGAAAGTTGCCCTTACTCTGATCTCTCCCAGCTCATTGGACCGTAGAAAAGAAACTCCTTGGGGATTCCAATGCTGAAGAGTGCAGTTCTCATCCTCATGATGCCAAAGCATTATTATGGTCTCAAACACTCGTTCATTGTGGATGATATCAATGAATTTGTTGAGAAATTGTAGCTGGGCGTAGTCGCTTCCCTTAACCATAGATCCAGTAATTATGAAAATTAGTAAAATCTTTATAGTTGTCATTGTGTTCAGGCTTGGTGACTCTTTCAGCAGGAAGTTAAAACAAAACTAAGAGACTAAGTTTATATTTAAGTGCTTCTACTAAGTTTATGCCAGGTTATTAAGTTAATGTGTTGGCTTTAGAAAGTTCATCGTTCGACAGCTGTCAGTTGATGAGATCCGCAGTTCGATGCAACACTTTTTAATCGAACAAAACAAACAGAAATAAAGAACTAAACTTTTTCATAAAATTAGTGAAGAAATTCACTTTCTTGAATTATTTTTCACTGTGCATCTGGTGATACGTTGAGCACACCTGGAATTACTCGAAGCAGAACTGAAAACAGAGCAGATACTTTGTCTGTTTGAAGTCGCGCTGAATAAACAATGCAAATGGCTTTCTGGATATTTGGCGAGGAAAGTCACTTGGAGAAGAAATATTAAAATTTTTTTTATAGCTCACGTCAAGCTGGAAGTTATACGCTGCGTTCTCATATTTCTCTCGGCGAGAACTAAGTGCCCGCGCCCCGATTCCCGACCCCCTCCCCACTGAAGGGAATATAAATTTACACTTGTCTACATTTTTTCACACCAGCAAAAGTGTTTGCTCAGCCAAGGGAAGGGGAAGGAGAAAGGATAAGGTCGGGGAGAAAGTCTGGTGGGGCAAAAGGAGACGTGGAAAGTGAAAAGAAATGCTTTGGGTGAGCTGGCTCTTTCTGGTTGTTGTGTCCTGAAAGCAAACAATCGCACGTGAAACGCTGCAGGAATTTCAATTAACTTGTTAGCATTTCACGCTTTTTGAACTTTAAACAAAGCAACAGACAGCAGACGAGAGACGACGGCTGGCAGCAGACGCAGTGCAAATACAACTAAAGACCGACTTAAAAGCTAATTTATGTTTAGCTCCTAATGAAACGCCTCCCGAGATGGAATTTAATGTCGGGCGAATGTTTGCCAAAGTTCTTTCCGAAAACTTGGCCAAGGGGTAATGCTCCCCAGTGCAGTGCAACAGGTGGCAAATATCCCTCGATTCGCCACACAGAGTTGAGCTCGTAATCAGCGGGTTCCCATAAAAGCAACCACCCTTCTTTGCTCTTCACACGCTGCCGAGTGTAATCAAATTAATCTCGTACTTGCGCCTATTCAGCAAATAGCAGTAATATGCCTGCGCAATTATTACTCTCGACAGTCCCCCAAACACTCATATATATTTGTATACACGTTGAGAAAATATTACAAATAGTTACGAGTTCTTTTGAGATATGTTTCAGGCAAAAATAGATAGAAAATGTAGCCTTCTTAAGAAGCACAAAGCTTATAAACTATAAAATATATAATAATAAATACACATATATAAAACCTTACTTTATTATTAAATAATGATAAACTCATTCTTTTATTTATATTTTTCCCAGTGTCCATAAGATACAAGCAAACAGACTGCTTGACTGATAAATGTGGCCGGGCTGCTCTCTTTTATTCCTCAGATATTTATCTCGCGCTGAAAACCTCATCAGGCTTAAGCACAGGGCTTAATTGCCCACATACCCCCAGAGTGTGTGTGTGTGCGAGCGTGTGTGTTTGCCATGTATATTACTTCATTTGCCTGGACCCCGGACAATCTGACATTCGTTGGGGGCTGCTGTTTTATGGGGCAAACAACAATACTCGAGAGCTGGAGCTCCCAGCTCTCCAGCTTGGAACGTAAACAAATACGTGGAACGGTGGCCAGTCAGTTGCCTGAGTTATCTGCCACACGTACGAGGGCGGATCCAAAAGATTACCCCTCTCGTAACTCGTTGCTACTGCCCAATAAAAGGATCCACCCTCGCTCGTCCCATAAATATTTAAGTTCTATTTTTGCTAATTTTTGCGTGCAAAATTAAACGCCTGACCTTTTACGTCTCGATACGAAAACAAATTTAATATTCTATTCTCCGAGGGGCGGCCAGAAAAAAGAGCCAGGGAGAAAGACAACTATTTATATAGCTAATAAAAACAACCTGTGAAGTGAACTCTGGACTTGAGTAAATATTCATCCATTCTGTTATTTTCCCTGCAATTGCTGCTAAATGAATTGAAAGCGTTTTCAGGCAAATACATTTCAGCAGGATACTACCCAAACCTTTGCATAAATCTTGGGCGCCATTAATTTCGGACCTGACTCCGTCTTTTTAATTAATTTCTGAGCAGGGAGAGAGCGAACCTTTTGTGTTTTATGCGGCACCCTAATGACACTTTTATGGATTTGAATTTGCCAGCGCCTTAATAGTGCTTCTAAAAAAATAACTCCTGAACCCGAGACTCGAGAGACCTGAGAGATGCCGGGACACGTTCCATAATGCCTCGCTGCCTTGGCGAACAATGTGCCAGGCGGCGGGTTTATATGCTCTACGCATAAGTATGCTAGAAGACGCTGACGGCTGTGGATTTTGGCTGTTTGCTCTAAGCTGAAGCTCGCACTTCCGCTTGGGTACCGTTCGAATGCGTTGGATGCCGCATACTGTTGGCCGTCTCCCCACTTCTTGAGCCATCCTGTCAGCGACAACAGGGCGTATGAGCTACGTTGCGTTGCGTATACGCTACGTAAGCCCTGGCAGGCGGGGCATAGCAGCAACAGGAGATGCCGAGCTAAGCGCAGGCCCTCTCTTTAACTCTCTTAAATGGTTCTCTTAGAAAAAAATCTCTTTGCTTTGCTGGCCACACGCATTAAAGTTGCTACGAGTTTGGTTTAGAGGCCAACTTGAAGCTCATTGTCGGCACTGCAATTATGTCAGATGCTGAGCTGTGAAATCGGAACTGCCGAGGGGAGTGGAGGCTTATGTCCCGCCACTCGGAAACGTGAGCCACTGGTCAGCGAAAAGGCATTCAAATTTCCCACAACCCGATATAGTCGAAATGTTAGACGTTAAGTTACTTAATGGCACTTTGCGCAAGTATCATGTCGCATTTCGGTATAACTTAGGGGTTCAATTAAGTTTAATTAATTGTAACAGCGATCAAATGATGAGATTATATAAAGGCAGGGAATATATTAAATTTCTTGTAAAGTCTGCGACCTATATTTATACATCTCTAATTTTTAGAATTACAAGAAATGTATTACTTTTGTTTCTTACTTACTTCTTACTTATTTCTTATTTTCAATTAAGCTTCAACTAATTGAGGTATATATTCTAAAAAATTAACCTATTAAACCCAGAAATTAAAACAAAAAATACCCACAGGATAAATCTTCCCTCCAAATACTTAAAATATAAGCAAACTCGCTAAGAAAAGCGCTGCAAGCTAATCAAATTTCGGTGTTTTTTTTTTATGGTCCATTATCCTTAATTATTTGCAAGCACAATTTCATGCTGCGCTGACCAAAATCGCCCCACGGAATGTTAAATCTAACTAATTAAGTCCGCCCACCTTTGGAGATTATTGATTACGGTTAAGCGCATTTTATGCCACCTTAGCGAGGTGAGTTAAATATTTAATGACGCCATATATAGCAAAGTTTTTGGCCAGGCCAACGACTCATAAAGTGTAGGCATCCCTGGATGCCTGTATCCCAGGTTTTCGGGTTCGCTGGATTCGCTGTAAAATAATTTCGACTAGGGGTCACCAGCAAGGACGACGACAATGACAACGCCAAGGAGTTGCTGCGCTAATTTAATTTGCCTGGGCCTGCAATTCATTTGCCGAGTCGTTGACTTTTAATGCACACATCTAAGACATTGTTGTTTGTTTGCTTACTTGTTGCCAGTCTTTTGCTTGACTTGGCTAACATATATACATGCCCTCGACTCGACTTTGCCTTTGGCTCCCATCCTGGGTCGACCTTGGCTTTTGCAGAATGCTTAACAATTTATTTCAAGTTGCGCATGATTTGAGCTCCTCTACACTTGAGCACATTTAATATTAATGCCCGAGTCTCCATGAGCCATCTGCTTGGTTGAATCTTTAAGCCAGACACTAGTCCAGAGGCCGGCAAATGCATTTACCAAAATTAACTCTGGCCACAAGACCAGCTAATGCCATTTTCATGTTGTGTTGTTGCACTTGGGTTGTGTCTATTTCAGTTGGGGGTAATTTTACTAGATTTTGGAAAGAATTTCTAACAAAAAATTTAAGAAAGTAGTGTAGAATTTAAGGTTTTGAATATTAAAAATAAAATAAGTACTTTAAATATAACAAATATCAAATAAAATTAATTTAAGGCTCAATAAAATTGTATTAAATATATCTTTTAGTTACCTAAATGCATACTAAATTTCACTTTTAGTATTACATCATTCTCCAAACATCCCTAATGCACTCCCAGTTCAGTTTTCTCAGCATCGCCAGTCGATTAATCTAACTGACACGCGCCATCAATCAGCATCGGGCAATCAGAGAAAGAGCATTTCCAGCTCCAATCCTCCATCCGGAGCTCATAATTAAGGCGCAAACCCAATCGATAAGGATCTTTTGAGGGGACAGGGGTTGGCCAGGTAACTTAGTTTTAAAGCCCCGTCCCGGGGGCCACTCAACGGCCCTTTACTGCTTTCAAGTTGCCACGGCCATTAATTTTGAAGCACTTCAGCCACCAGCGGCAGATTCGTTTAGACAATAAATATCCAAGGCCTGCCCGCATTCTGGGGGCACGTTGAAAATTCACAGAGGTCGTTATTTTTGGGCAATGAAATGTTTCACACCTGCCGTTCATCAAAACACAAGCTAAAGCCCAAGCCACACCAACGCGCAATCAAGGAAAATTTGTATACAGTGACCAAAATGGATTAAGTCTTCTGAAACAAAAATATAAAATAAATAACCTTAACATTTTTAATTGGTTTTGTTGTAGAAGGCGAAAAACTAAACTAGATTTATATGATTTTTCTTACTCTTTTATCCTTACATATATTTATTTTTTTACTTAACATCCCACCTTTCAGGTAAAGTAAAGTTATATAGATCTAATTAATTGTACTTTATTACTATATCTTACGATG